CTTGCCTGAGCCAGTTGTGCCCCCCGGGCCCCTGGAGCACGCCGCCAGCCCCGGGCGCCTGGTGCATGCGCATCCCCACCCCCAGGCGCCTGGTGCATGCGCATCCCCACCCCCAGGCGCCTGGTGCATGCGCATCCCCACCCCCAGGCGCCTGGTGCATGCGCATCCCCACCCCCAGGCGCCTGGTGCATGCGCATCCCCACCCCCAGGCGCCTGGTGCATGCGCATCCCCACCCCCAGGCGCCTGGTGCATGCGCATCCCCACCCCCAGGCGCCTGGTGCATGCGCATCCCCACCCCCAGGCGCCTGGTGCATGCGCATCCCCACCCCCAGGCGCCTGGTGCATGCGCATCCCCACCCCCAGGCGCCTGGTGCATGCGCATCCCCACCCCCAGGCGCCTGGTGCATGCGCATCCCCACCCCCAGGCGCCTGGTGCATGCGCATCCCCACCCCCAGGCGCCTGGTGCATGCGCATCCCCACCCCCAGGCGCCTGGTGCATGCGCATCCCCACCCCCAGGCGCCTGGTGCATGCGCATCCCCACCCCCAGGCGCCTGGTGCATGCGCATCCCCACCCCCAGGCGCCTGGTGCATGCGCATCCCCACCCCCAGGCGCCTGGTGCATGCGCATCCCCACCCCCAGGCGCCTGGTGCATGCGCATCCCCACCCCCAGGCGCCTGGTGCATGCGCATCCCCACCCCCAGGCGCCTGGTGCATGCGCATCCCCACCCCCAGGCGCCTGGTGCATGCGCATCCCCACCCCCAGGCGCCTGGTGCATGCGCATCCCCACCCCCAGGCGCCTGGTGCATGCGCATCCCCACCCCCAGGCGCCTGGTGCATGCGCATCCCCACCCCCAGGCGCCTGGTGCATGCGCATCCCCACCCCCAGGCGCCTGGTGCATGCGCATCCCCACCCCCAGGCGCCTGGTGCATGCGCATCCCCACCCCCAGGCGCCTGGTGCATGCGCATCCCCACCCCCAGGCGCCTGGTGCATGCGCATCCCCACCCCCAGGCGCCTGGTGCATGCGCATCCCCACCCCCAGGCGCCTGGTGCATGCGCATCCCCACCCCCAGGCGCCTGGTGCATGCGCATCCCCACCCCCAGGCGCCTGGTGCATGCGCATCCCCACCCCCAGGCGCCTGGTGCATGCGCATCCCCACCCCCAGGCGCCTGGTGCATGCGCATCCCCACCCCCAGGCGCCTGGTGCATGCGCATCCCCACCCCCAGGCGCCTGGTGCATGCGCATCCCCACCCCCAGGCGCCTGGTGCATGTGCGGTCTCACCTCCGGGTGCCCGGTGCATGCATGGCTCTGCCCCTGCCCGGTCCGGCAGCCCCGCGTGGTGCCTCCTGCAATGGGGCATACTGGGTGGTAGCCCGGTCAGCCTGTAGCTTGGGCCGGCTCTGGACTCAAGCAGTCCCCTGCTGGCCTCAGGCTCTCCACGGCGTTTCAAAGCGACAGCGCCGCATGGAGCCCAGGTCAGAGTCCCCAACGGGGCTGCCATTTTGAAGCACTCCCTTTGCTTCCCCCTCCTTGCTGCCTCTTTCTGATAAAGGCAGCGAGGGGGGAAGCAACTCGTCGACGAGTCGTTCACTTCCCTACATGACACTCTCTCGATATATTTGTTAGTCTCTCAGGTGCCCCAACACCCCTCGTTTTTAAAGTTACAGTCGAACGCGGCTCCGGCTCCGAGACTCCTCTTAGAGAAGAGAGAAATCAACCCGGGAGCAACCGACCCAGGGTCACGGTGGATTCTGCATCAGGGACAATGTTTCACCCCGGACGGGTGTTTCTCTACAAGCTCTGCTCTAGCTGATATTTGGGGGAAGGCCTGCGGCCTGCACAGATCCGACTAGAGGGTGACAAGGGTCCTTTCTGGCCCAGATGTCTGACCCCAGCTGCGTCAACCTGTCCACACGCCAGCCCGGAATGTGAACGCTATGCAGGCCTCTCGGTCCCTGGCTGTGTGTGGACCAGGACCCCCAAAACAAGAACCGTGCGTCTAGTTTGGAAAAAAGAAGATTAAGGGGGGACATGATAGCGGTTTCAAATATCTAAAAGGGTGTCACAAGGAGGAAGGAGAAAATTTGTTCCTCTTGGTTTCTGAGGACAGGACAAGGAGTAATGAGCTTAAAGTGCAGCAGGGGAGGTTTAGATTGGACATTAGGAAAAAATTCCTAACTGTCAGGGTGGTCAAATATTGGAATAAATTGCCAAGGGAGGTGGTGGAATCTCCCTCTCTGGAGATATTTAAGAACAGGTTAGATAGACATCTGTCAGGGATGGTGTAGGTGGAGCTTGGTTCTGCCTTGAGGGCGGGGGGCTGGACTCGATGACCTCTCGAGGTCCCTTCCAGTCCTATGATTCTATGATTCTATGATTCTCCGCTCCGTACCGCAAAGCAAGCGGGTGGGTTGCACGGGCATGCACACGCACGGCCTTGCACGCACGGCACGCGTGCCCGGGGACCCGTGCAAGCACCTGCGGAGCGTGGTGCCGACACGCCCTCCCACGCCCGTACCCAGGGCACCACGCACTCGGCACGCGCCGTGCCCGCCTCCCCCCAAGCAGCTGCCAATCCCACCCTTGCAACTCCCAGCATGCGGCTGTGGGCCGGGGGGGGAAAGAGCCCCCTCTAGCCCCAGCTGGGTGGAGCAATGTCCCCCTGCGGCCGCTAGGGGTCAGTCCGGGCTAAAGAGCATCTCTCCCCTGCTCCGGTAACTAAGAAAAGTTTGCGAGGCGCGGACCCTCCCTGGAGGGTGTGATTGGGCTGGAAGGGGGAAGTTTCTGATTGGAGGCGGGATCTGCCACTTAGCCGCTGGGCGCAGCACCTGGTTAAAGGAGAGCAGGGCGGGCGCAGGTAGCGCAGATTCCCAGGGCTCTCGCTTGCTGGGGATTGTAGCTGTTGGTTCCCTCTGGATTTGATCGCTAAGGTGAGCGCTGCGTTCCCGGTGTGAACCCTCCCTCCCGCGGGGGGGCTTGATTCGGATTAGCCCACAGCCGGGTTCAGCTCTGCGCCCCTGGGAGGGGGCAGCCCCCCATCTCGGGGAGAGGAGGAGACTCGAGGGCTGGGCTGGTTTCCTAGGGAGGAGCAAGTCACAAGGCTGCCCCCTTGCTGGGGGGGGCACTGGGTCTTCTCTAGCTTTGTGGACCACCCCCCCCGCACAGGGAACTGAGCAGTTTCTGGGACTCTACCCTGTGATCTTCCTGGAAACTTTCTTGGGGAGGGGGAGGATGCTGGATTAAGCCTGGTGTCTGCTAACCCTGCTGGTTTCTTTTCAGGCGCAAAGATGGGCTGCTTCACTTTCCTCAAGGTTATGATGATCTTGTTTAACCTGGCCATATTTGTAAGTACCCGCTGCTGCGTCTCCTCCCCGCCGGGGGTCGATGGAGGCTGGGCCTCCCGGCACTGGATCTATCACTATTATTTTTTAATTACGAGCTTTCCCTTGCTCTCGAGTCTCTGCCGGCCCCTGGGGACTGTGGGGGCGAGCGCGGCGTGTCCAGAGCCCCGTTCTCCCTGGCTCTCCTGTCTATGAATTCCGGCTCTGGCTGCGCGCCGTCTCGTGTGTGGACGGAGCCGCGTCCGTTGCGCTATAGCTAGCTTGCTAGGATAGCAGCGAGGACGCCGCAGCGGGGGCACAACCAAGGGCGTGGGTAGCCCGCCCTACAGCGTCTGCACGGCTAGATGCTGACGTGGGGTCACGGCAGGGGGGGGGTTGTTCGGGGGGGCTGGCCAGCGGTGGTAGAGGGGCCCAGCCAAGGTGGCCGCGTGTCAGCCTCCGTTAATTGGCACCGCGCAAAGAGCGACGCTCCCAAACCGGCTCGCACCAAAACGCTCCGTAGGGAGGGAAGGGTTGTGATGCTGATAGACCCTGCCAGATCTTATTGCCCTCTGTAACCGGTGGGGGGACAGATCCCCTAAACCAGGCAGCTAGCCGTAGGGGGCAGGGCACTTTCCAGGGCCCAGGAAGGCTCTAACCAGCCTTTCACCATGAGCCCCACCCCGGAGCTAGCCGGAACAGGGCGTCCGGCTGGACCTGCGCCAGCAAACAGAGGCGGCTACTGGACTGTGCAGCCAGCATCATAGTGCGCCTGTTCCCAGCACTTGGATTTGCTGTGGCCACGCCACCGGGAGAACACGGAGAGCCAGGGTATGGCTCCGGAATGAGACTGTCTCTGATTGCTCCCTTCCTGCCATGCTGGGAAGAGATCTGGCGGGTGCCTGCACCCAGGGGATCCGGCCACCGAAGCAGCGGGTCCTATTTTCTTTGTCTCCATCTCTCGGTGCTTGGCTCCGGACCCTGCTGTCTGTGTGGGGAAAGCCACTGGGCTCCGGGGCCGCACACCTGCCCAGGGACCCGGGCTGGCATTGCCCAGGCTGTTGACTGCTGCTTGTAGTTCCGCTTGGTTCTGACCCCTCCACCTTGATCCTTGTCCGTGGCCTGTGTTCACAAAGCCGGCATCCGAGACTGGCAGGGTTCGCACTGCACCGAGTTCCACGCAGGGTGGGGGAGACGCGGGCCAAAGGCTCTGGCCTCTCTCTTCCCCTCCGGCCACTCCCTGGCCACGGATGGACTCCAGGCTCCCTCCTTGCCACGTGGGGGAGGGAGGATGTAGGGCTGGCCAGAAGTCTTCCATCAAATGATTTTTTTTAATGGAAAATTTTCCTGTCCTTGACCCTCCAGGGGAAGTTGCTGCTGTTCTCGGTGTGGGGCATCAGAAAACTCACTTTAGAATCAGGGCTGGCAAAGACCTCAGGAGTCATCAAGTCCAGCCCCCTGCCCAAAGCAGGACCAACCCAACTCCATCATCCCAGCCAGGGATGTGAGAAGCCAGGAATTAAAAACCTCTCAGGATGGAGATTCCACCCCCTCCCTAGGGAACCCAGCCCAGCGCTTCCCCACCCGCCTAGGGAAATGGTTTTTCCTAAGATCCCACCTAGACCTCCCCCACTAACTCTAGTTGATCCTATTTTTCCACCAGGGGACTGGGCTGGAAAGGAGCCCCGTTCTTTTTCTGGTCTCTCTCTGCCCCCACCGGCTCTGAGGATCTTCTGGCCTCGGTTGCCATCTTTCCAATTCCAGCCTGTGTTGTCCCAGGGGCACCCGACCATGAATAACGTCCCAGTCCGAGTCCTGGCAGGCGGGGCTAGCGGCTCTGGGACCCAGGCAGCATTGACACTCGCGGGGCGAGGCCGAACAATGGTCCTGTCTCTCCCTTGCCCTCCCGCACGGCCGATGAGCCTGCTCCTCTCGGGTTTCCCGCCTGGGGACTCGGAGGCAGGTTTCTCCATCCAGCGAGAGCAGCTCAGCGGCGGGGGTTATAACGGAGGTGGCGAGTGAGTCCTTTCAGGGCTTTTCTTCCCTCGCTGCCTCCAAGGACCCGGTTTCACTTGCCCGGTGGACAAGGCTGCCTGTTCTCGCTCGGCGTGTTCAAAGGCAGCTCTGTCTCCGTGGTGCCGGGTGAGGAGAGGGGGGCTGCTCTGTGGTGTCCCACGGGAGAAGCAAGTCTCACAAAGAGCTCTCCGCCAGTCCGGCGTGGCTGGGGATTATCCGCCACGGAACGATCTTGGTGCTTTGGCCCAGGCGGGTCTCCCTTTCCCCTCCCGACCGCCAGACTCGCTCGCTGCGGTGCTCCGAGCTGGGCTGAGGGCCTTGTCTCTCTCCACGGACGGCCACCTGGCGGGGGACGCTTGCTTGCGCCCAGTGAGCAAGCTCCTTGATTTGTGCCGAAGCCAAAGAGGGCCTGACAGCGGCTGAGGGCCTAAGATGGCCGCAAACCGTGGGAGGCTCCAGAAAGCTGGTCCACCCGGAATGGCGGCCGGGGGCTTTGCTCTCCCAGCCCGAGACGCGGCGCTCCTGGCGGAGCTTGGTGGAGACGGCCTCTGCTCCGGCGGGCCCTGTTCTGAAAGGCGCTGGGAGGAAAACGGCTTCCTCGCGGGCACGGGGGTGAAACCCTAGCTGGCTTCACGGCTGAGCTCGACGTGTATCGAGGGGGCGCCCCCCGGATGGGCAGACTCTCATTTTTCCGGGGACAGGCACAGACTCCAGACCCTTTCCTTGTGGCGGGAGGGGCCCTAGCGCACGTCCTCTCCCCAGTAAACGCCTCCGTCCGAGGCAAGAAGGAGCTGACGGGAGTGGGCGAGGCTGGCGCGATGGCCTGGGACTCTCCTCCTGGCACTACGTTAGCCTTCCAGGGCTCGCAGCTGCCCCGCCCGGGGCTGGAATGCAAGTACAAAGGGGCCGGGCCCTGGGAGACCGTTTGGTTATAAACTCCTCTCCGTGCCAGGGACGGGGCTGGCCTAAATCCGAGGGAGCGGCTGACTCTGGGGTAGAAATAAGGATGCTCCCTGAGTCCTGCAGGCCACGTCGGAGCATGTCTGGTCCAGCAACGCTCGTGGGCAGCGACTGAGCAGTTGCTCCCGGTAATCAGGGGGTCTCTGAATCCCCACTTCTGGGACCCGCCTGTGAGCCAGAACAGACCGCGCTGGCTCCCCGGCCTACCACGGACCTGCCCCCCGTGGACTTGGCTGAAGTGACAACAGGCGCTGTCGCTATGGAGACCTGTGCTCAGGAACGTGCGCTGCCCAGGTTTCCTGGGGAGCCGGTGGTGGCTTGGAGAGTGTTCCCCAAATTCAGGGACCTGTAAGCGGCTCCAGGAGCCCTTCTTGTTTCACCCAGAGCCTCATCACTCACCCGAGATGGGGGCAGGGCCCTACCGTGGTCACAGCCATGCCAAACGCGTCACACAATCCACAGCCCTCCTGTGAAATCTGGCCTTCGGGGTGCTTCTACCTACACCACTTAACCAGCGCTGCTCAGACGGGGGGGCCTGACCCCATAGGGAGCTGGGGGGACCCTAAGGTTATTTTAGAAGGGTCACGACATTGCCGCCCTTCTGTGTCCCCTTCAGAGCTGGGCGACTGGAGAGCGGTGGTTGTGATGTGGGGCTGGGGCCCGGCTCGGAAGGCAGCGCCCCCCAGCAGCAGCGCAGAAGGAAGAGAGGCCACCCCACGCCAGGCCAACCTCCCTTCTGCCCTGCTGCTGGCGGCAGCTTTGCCTTCAGCCAGCAGCCGCTGCTTTCCAGCTGCCCAACTCTGAAGTCCGCGATTTGAAATCTCTGAAATCGGGACCTTTCGTAGGGCCCGAGCTCTAGGGGAAGGAAGGGGCCGCTGACCCGGGGAACACCTGGAGCAAAGCCAAGGCTATTCACAACTTGAAGGGAAAGGAGTAGGGTCTTGCGTGTCTAGGTCCCGCCAAGCCGGTGCTGCCTCCAGACTCCGGGTGTCTCAACCCTCCCCAAGCCACCTCTGAAACGCCGCGCCTCTCGCTTGCTTCCTAGCTTGGCGGAGGGGCGCTCCTGGGCGTCGGGATCTGGGTGGCCGTGGACAGCAGCTCGTTCTCCAACCTATTTGGCTCTACCAACGTCTTGCAGTTCGTGAATATCAGCTACTTCCTCATCGTCATCGGCGCCATCCTGGTGGTGCTTGGCTTCCTGGGATGCTGCGGAGCCCAGAAAGAGAGCAAGTGTCTCCTGATCATGGTAAATACCCGGCCATGGGGGGCACCGACCCGGGCGCGCTCCGCCTGGCCTGCGGGTCGAGGCGCACCTGGGCTGGGAGGGGGGAGGGAATGGGCTTTGTTCCTCCAGAGCGGGGTTGGGATCCATTCGACCAGGGGATGTTTGCAGCGGCTGCCTTGGAACAAGGCAAATTGGCTCCCACTGAGCTGCCCAGAGAGAGACCGAGCCGCTGGGGGCGACCCGACGGTGGGAAATCCAGGGAGGGGTTTCTTTGAGCTCCCGGCTCGCTTTATAAACTCCGGAGGCGTGGGAGGTCCCCGGCCTACGTGGGGAATAGCTGAAGCCAGCAGGGCTGCTCCCAGGGGTCTCCCCAGCCCTGCTGACCAGGGGAAGTGGGCAGCGCTGTGACCAGCCCCAGCGAGACAGGCCTGGCGCTGTCCCGCCTCTGACCTCGGTGTGGTGTCCTCTCTAGTTCTTCTCCATCGTGCTAATCATCTTCATTGCGGAGATCGCTGCTGCGGTGGTGGCTCTAGTCTACACGTCTCTGGTAAGTCAGGGGGTGGAGAGACCCCAGGAGGGGCAGGTCGGTGGGGCTAATGCAGTGTCCGTGGCAGGAAGGGCTTTCCTCCAGGCGGGTGGCCGAGGACCTGAGTTCGGTACTCCCCAAGGGGGATTGGTGGCAGTTGCCAGGCCCGGTATGGCGCAGCTCTGTCTGTGTGGGGGGGCGAGGCTGCCCGGTGCCCTATGGGGGGCAAGGGGCTGGGGGATGTGGATTTTGTCTAGTCACCCCCCCCCAACATACTTTGCGGGGTCAGTCACGTGTAGGCTCCAGCGTGAGCCCTGGGGAGCGACCTGGAGCGCGGCCGAGGCGGAAAAGCCGACGCCGCAGGCAGGACCGGGCTGTGCCGGGGGCCAGGCTGGCGTCAGAACCGCTCGGGGACGGTGGTTCCTGTTCCCACTTCCTGCTCGCAGACCTCAGGCGTCTTGCGCCACCCAACATACTTTGCGGGGTCAGTCACGTGTAGGCTCCAGCGTGAGCCCTGGGGAGCGACCTGGAGCGCGGCCGAGGCGGAAAAGCCGACGCCGCAGGCAGGACCGGGCTGTGCCGGGGGCCAGGCTGGCGTCAGAACCGCTCGGGGACGGTGGTTCCTGTTCCCACTTCCTGCTCGCAGACCTCAGGCGTCTTGCGCCACCGGGGAACGCGTCACCCGCTGACAAAGCAACTCCTGCTGGTGCCAGGGCCGGCCGGCTGGCAACAGGCCCCCCCCCGCTCTCGC